GCCAGCACCCAGCGTACCCGCCTATCGACGACACATCATGCCGTCGTCGGTCGGGTAGCATACGCACGCTGCTGCAGCGAGATGGTTCTGCAGGGCAGGGAAGAAAACCGCGATGTCTGCCGTACACCGACGAGTCTCGATGTGCTACCCTCAGGAGGGGGCGAGCGACACAGCCGGTGGGGCGGAGCTCACATCGCCGATTTCAGGGCGAAGTGCAGCCTAGAAACATGCCACTATGATCCTCGACCCGTCCGCACCCAGAAGCCACTCTCGGAAGGTATCGACACCCTACGATGGCAACACGAATATGAACCGTGCCTCGATTTGAGCACGGGTCATAGCAGTGCCTCGAGTCAACAACCATCCCTCGAAACGAAACGGGTGCATGCCGACTGACATCGGCGATCCATGGAGAGAGCGTCAATTCCAGTCAACCGTCTACACTGACCCGTGGACAGGAGGACCTTAACAGGCGACGCATGCTTATCAGCAACGTTCACACGACCGTCTTATGACTGCAGTCCCGAACGACCTTGCCTGGTTTCTTCGTCATCGTCAGAACGGAAGGGGAGACCCAAGGCGCCAGCGGGGGCTGCTGCGGTCCTCCATCATCTGAGGAACACGGGATTCAAAAATGGCGGAAGGGATGTGGCTTCATCGCCTTCAAGTTCCACTCGGACAGTGACGACGTATAGCCTCCGCTCTTCGGTCGTCCGTACTTGGTGCGTACGATGGTTTTTCTAGCCGCTGCAGAGGCATCCCGTGCCTTCGTCGCACAGACTGCAATTTACGGAGACAAGCAAACAGCGCATGTCATCCGCTAACGCATTAACACCTCCGCCCACAACCTCCGAGGTGGGAATACCAGGACAGGACCACCGAATGCCTGACTCGTAAACGCATGGTGTCACCTGCAAACTCCTCATGAGCGGTGAAGGAAGCCACACGCGGAAAGCGGTACTATGGCCACAGACCAAATTTACCGCAACACCAATATACGCCCCTGGTTGCCGAATTCCGTTTACCTATACCGCATCACCGCTACCGTACAAAGTCACCAAACATCCTGCTTGTACGCGACCAAACGCGGCCTCTACCCAGCCCATTAGAGGCGGGCGGCCGAACAACGATACCTACACTCTTGGTGCCGCGCAGAGCATGTCGCTAGCACCCAGCGTACCCGCCTATCGACGCCACATCATGCCGTCTTCAGAGGGGTAGCATAGGCACGCTGCTGCGGTAAGGTGCTTGTGCAGGGTGGGGAAGGGCGCCGCGATGTCCGCTAAACACAGACGAGTCTCGATGTGCTACCCTCAGGACGGGGCGAGCGACACAGCCTTTGGGAAGGAGCTCACATCGCCGATTTCAGGGCGAAGTGCAGCCTGGAAACATGCCACTGTGATCTTCACCCCCGTCCGCACCCAGAAGTCACTCTCGGAAGGTATCGACACCCTACGATGGTAATACACATCGGCCGCGCCTTGATTGGAGCAGTATGTCGCCACAACAAGCATCCCACGAAACCACACAAAGGCATGCCGACTGACCTTGACCACCGATACATGCTGGTAAACAACGTTCACTCGCCTCCATTGCAGTGCTCCCCCAAGGCGTTGCCTGGTATTTTCATCATCGTCAGGACGGAAGAACACCCAAGGCGTCAGTGGGCGCTGCTGTAGTCAGCCATCATCTGAAGAACATGGTATTTGCACGAAACAAGGGACGTGGTGGGACCGGGTCTCTGGCCTCGACGCTTCGAGTTCCTTGGCACCAGGGAGGCGACAATCACCGCCAGCATCCATTCTATCACGCATCTCATTCCCGCAATTGTACCACCATAATCGGTGTCTACCCTGCCCCTGGAAGGTGGCACTTCGATACCACCACCCTTTTGTCGCAGAGAAGAGCATGTCGCTGACACCTAGCTCGCCCGCTCGTCAACGCGACATCGATGCGGCGTGACGCCGTCGTCGGAGGGGAAGCACACGAACGCCGTTGTGGTGGTGGGGGGGCGGGCGTACTCTCATGTTTTGCATGCCTTAGTGGTTAGACCATTGACCACGCGTCCTCGAGAGAACGGAGCATTGTACCCACAGGACCGGTCACCGATGGCCAATCGTTCCTTTCTACTTTGCCAAAGTTGGCTCAAAAATGTCTTCCCTAGTCTGTCTATCATAACGATATCCCTTCCCGCCTTTTCAACCCATCTCCTATGCCCCAGTGCAGCTACCGTCCTTTCCTCTCTATTCCATGCCTCAAACATCTCCCTGTACGTCTCATCTATTTTTCCCAGCTCAGTCACGTACATCTCCCTTTCCTTCTTGTACAACGGGCATTCCGCGACTACACGTTCACGGTCTTCGCATTCGAAGCCGCAATCACATTTGAAC